ATGCGCCACCTGCAAAACCGGCTATACGCTCAACACCACCACTGGCCAGTGCTCTCTGAGTAAGTGCTGTTGGGTTTATGCACCTGATCGGGGAGGGAGGATTCTTTGAGCACTTGTTCCTTTTGTGTCAGGCGCTTCCACCAGCACATGCATACTGGCATTTGCAGAAGCTGCCATCAACGGCATGCTTTCTCTCTAAGACCCCACCCACACTTTGCTTATGCTACATGTTGTCACCGCCATCGTTTTGCAGCGTGCACGGCCGCCAACTGCGCCGCCTGTGCCGCGGGGTCTGCCACAACATGCACCAGCTGCGTGCCTGGCTACACGCTCAACGCCACCACGGGCCAGTGCTCTCTGAGTAAGTTTGGCATCGCTCCTGGTCAGGTTGATGTTATTGCTCATGCATTTGTCTTTGGGAAGACGCTTGCATGCCGGCCGCACCACGTGTAGCTTGACCTGCTTCTTCTGCCTTACCTTTTTACTGTGCCCTCATCCAATCTGCCCTCATTTAATCTGCGTCCACTTTTGTGCCTTCTGCCATTTGCAGCGTGCACGGCCGCCAACTGCGCTGCCTGTGCCGCGGGGTCTGCCACAACATGTGCCAGCTGCGCGGCTGGCTACACGCTCAACACCACCACTGGCCAGTGCTCTCTGAGTGAGTGGGGTCGTCCTTTTGGTCAGGGGACCCTCCACTTTGTTCTGCACATCCACCGTTGCGATATTCATCAATTGACATTCGTGCGCAAACTCTGCTAGATGTCCGCAATGGGATGCTCCCTCACCTTGCCTGCTGATTATGCAAAAGCTGTATTCATCCGTGCCGTAGTGTTCCTCGCTACTCGTTTATCACCGGTTAACTACACATCCGTATACTTGAAGCGCATGCACAAACCCATATACACACACGCACATGCACACGCACACACGCACGCTCACACGCACACGCTCACACGCACACGCACACGCCCACACGCACACGCACACGCCCACACGCACACGCACACGCGCGCGTGCACACACACGCACGCACGCACGCACACAGATCTCTGTCATCATGCACTGCTTGCAGCCATCACACATAGCATTGAACATGACTTGTCCCTCTTGTTGCATTCTGCAGGCCTTATCTGCTCACCGCCCTGTCTCAATGGAGGCGTGTGCGTCCTCGGCAAGAACAACAAGAACACGTGCGACTGTCCTACGGGGTTCACCGGCACGAACTGCGGGACCATCAAGCGAAGGAGATTATATTTGTAGACACCTCTCCCGCTGACACTGCATTCTATACGAGGTTGAGCAAGTTTGTGTCTGCTACCCCAACGGCACAAACAACAATAACAGCAGCATGAGGGCTTGCTGATGCGTGCAAGACTGTTATTATGTCTAACTGTTGGTTTGGGCGTAATATCCAGGACAAATTTCTACAACATCCCATGCCGCATGTCGAGCCTTGTTATATATTCATAAGGACGACATCAGATTGCGTGGAGGGTTCCCTGAGGTTTGCGGGAACACAGGAATTGTGGTGCACGGGCAGGCTGCTAAGCTGGTTGTAATCCCCCAGTGTTACTGTATGTACTATATGATTTTGACATGTCAAATTCATGTACTTGTGCTGATGAGAAGCAAATTAGTGCCTTTAAACAAGTCAAAATCGCGTGCTCGACCAGCTGCATGCATGCTCCAGTATCATGTCAGCCGCCAGCCGCACAGTGCATGTGCGCCCCATCCAAACGCGCATAAAATGTGCCAAATGATCACGTAGATGCTGGTTTGGAGTCAGAACAGGGCAATCCCACAGTGAAATAGCACGATATGCATGCAGGGGTCCCCCCGCGCCCCGTGGTGTGTGCCCCAAGCTCTAGGATGATAGGAAGCAGCTGACACCTAGAGCACCAGGCGAGGTGCGCACTTGACAAGCGCGTCACACCCCTTGCACACCTTTGCCAAATTGCAGTTTATGCAACCAAGTCAAACGGCAATTGTGCATGTCGCCAGGCACACACACGCACACGCACACGCACACGCACACGCACACGCACACACTACTTTGCCGCCTTCAGAAAGTCAAGCTTGGCTGTGTCCATCTGTGGAGCAGGGCGGGCTCCTCTTATCAGGTGCATGCAGTCATTGAGCATAGGCTCGGGCCACGCAGCATTGCGTGCTGGCTCCACCTCGCATGCATGCGAGCTTGCCTAAGCAAGCACCCCCGTGTTATATGCAATGCATCATGTGTCCTATGTGTTGTTGATGCATTGTATTGAAAACATCTTGCGCTGTTGTGTGGCGTTTGATGTGTGATAAGCTGCATGGCAAATCTGAAGCCTGTGTGCAAATCTGCAGCCCTTCCTGGATCCACCTGCAGTCCGCACAGCACGTGCGCCAATCTTACCAGCGCCACTGGCATGTTTGTGGCGCATATATATACATATATATATGCCCAAAATACATATGTGTTTAAAGCGGCTATGGAGGGGTTAATTTGCAACAACTGCCGACCATGAGACCCGCAGTAGAAGGATTGATTATGGGTTTGGCCACTTGAAGAGAATCAGGCAACCGACAATCGAGGCACCTACAAACCACCCGCCCAACAGGATGCACCATGCTGCATCCAAGTCCACAGTGCGTGTCAAGCGGCATATACACGACACAACAGCATAGCGTGTGCCTGCCCAGCGCGTGTTTGAACGCATTCATCCCGTTGACTCAGATTGAATTTCATGTCCCGGACAAAGAGAGCCGATCGCACCTAACTGGCAGCTCCACGCATGACCCTATCAGCAATGGTGATTTGACGAGCTAGTGTGCGCAGTTGTGCTGGCAGCAATTCTTGCCGGCACGGAGTTTTTGTTGTTTCGGCGCCTTGAACATGCTACCAGAGGGTGTGCTGCATTGACTGGTTCGGCTGCAGTTCAATGCTGTGGTGACGGCTGGCGCCATGGGCCCCACCTGCGTGCGTGAATTCGCAGGATACAGCTGCGCACACGGCCATTGATTCCACCAACACCAGTGTTGCTTGACCATTATAACACATACACAATAGGGCACCCCAGTGTCGGGAACGCGCGCATCCTGTCGATCGCATCTTCCAGGCGGGGCTTGGCCCTAGGACATAATGGGGCGTGCACAACCGCACGGCCTGCAGGCTGTGTTCACAGCTGTGAACATGTCCCTGAAACTGTGGCACTGGCTCGACCCACGTCAGCAGGGTTCACAACATTGAATCTTGCTTGAAGGACATCACATGTGTGTTTCTGACATCGTCGGCAGGCATGCTCACATGTCCAGATGAGTCATGCACCCAGGGTACCTGTGAAGCTGGTGCGACGCGTCGCCGTGATCAGCAGATTCAGCAGCGAAAGCACTCATGCACCCGCCGGATGTCATCTGGGAGATCGCACGATGATCACAACGCGAAACTAATGCCATGACAACGCGGTACTCGTGCACGACACAGCAAATTCTCCGCGCTGTTACGATAGAGCGTGCTTGCGTGGCCAACAGATATCGGCCTCATGGCAGGTAGTAAGCGTGGCTACGATTATGGTAATATTGCGGTATTCGCGCTTTTCGCCGTCCGGCACCATGAGCGAAACGCAATTGCGCAGCTCGCCATTGGCACACATCGCCTGGCGGTGCAACTGGGCGGTGCCACATCCCCTGCAATCGCGCATCCGCGACAGACATGGAGCTGGAGCGGCTTCAGAAGGAGCTGGTCAAGATGCAGCTTTGGGTCAAGGCCAAGAAGCTCAAGGTGAGCTTGGGGCCGTGGCTGGCATTGCCTGAAAGCCATGCCTGCGGGCCCCAGCAGCAGCTTCTGAGCCTGAATTCCGGGCTGACTCCTGCTGCCAATTTGGTGTGACGATCTCCGCCCCCTTATGGCGCAGGTGCTGGTGATATTTGAGGGTCGCGACGCTGCAGGCAAGGGCGGGGTCATCAAGCGCATCACGGAGCCGCTCAACCACAGGGGGCTGAGGGTGGCGGCGCTGGCGGCGCCGACGGATCAGGAAAGGAGCCAGTGGTATTTCCAGGTGTGTCTGGTCGGAGGTGGCAGAGATGTGCTGGTGCTTTGAGCCTGAGGTCGCAAGTGGTGCTGCATGGAGGGCGCATCCGCTCAGCGGATGGGCCGACCATGCAGCGACGGGCGTTGGCTGTTGCACAGCGATTCGACAATGTCGGCGGGCGGGATCGTGAGTGAGTTGCACAGCACTGAACACTCTCACTATCATGCCATCAGATAAGGCCGCCTGACACACCGTTTCTGGCTGGATTCTTTCCTGGCACCTGCACCGCTGCAGCGCTACGTCCAGCACCTGCCGTCTGGCGGCGAGATCGTGCTGTTTGACCGTTCCTGGTACAACCGTCCAGGCGAGGCACGATGCGCGCGGGCACACACCAGCTTCAGATGGGGGTGTGACGCACAGGTGCACCCTGTACTGCTGCCTTGGAACTGCACAGGTCCCCAGTTCTTTGCAAAGCGGACCCGGTTGAAGCGTTGTACTGGCTCGTCGCCCCCTGCTGTCTTCCTGGGCGGCAGGCGTGGAGCGCGTCATGGGCTTCTGCAGCGAGGACCAGGTGGAGGAGTTCTTCAGGACCTGTCCCGAGTTTGAGCGCATGCTGCGCCGCTCTGGCATCATACTGGTCAAATACTGGTTCAGGTGCGAGCGCGGGCTCTTACCCTTTTGCGCCTTGTCCGTGGTATTCATTGCTTAACAACAGGGCGGAATCCGCCTGGTAGTGCACATGTTCCAGCGCTTCCTTCCTCATCACCCTCCTGCATGCCTGACGATTGGCCTTTCTACAATGGTGATGCTCCGCCCATTGTTCAAAAAGCAAGCACTTCCTGAACCACCGAACGCGACAGTGTGAGTGATGTGGAGCAGGAGAAGCGCTTCCAGGACAGAATTGACGACCCAGCCAAGCGGTGGAAGCTCAGCGAATTCGACCTGTCAGCACGCTCCAAGTGAGGACAGGCGGGCTCGGGTCGTAGTCACTTTGATCTGCAGTGGATCAGTCAGAGCAGAGGGGGCCGTTGTGCTGGGCGGGAGGAGCATGTTTGGCGGATGGCCCGCAGCCCCTTGGCTGGACCAGGGTGCAGGGCAGGGGCTCGCTGCCAGAGTAGCCAGTCAGACTTTAATGGGCGAATGTAATGCCGCTGCACCCCTCTGCTCTGCTGTACGCACCCGCTGGCGCCACCAAAAAGGTGGGTGGAGTATGCCAGGGCTAAGGATGACATGTTCAGGCACTGCGACACCAAGGCGAGCCCGTGGTGGGTGGTGCCCTCAGATGACAAGAAGGCCGCCCACGTGAGTAATATGGGTTGGTGCAGGTCCGCGTTGTGAGAGCACGAGAGGGCAGTGCGCGCCTACCTGCGTAGGCGGAGGCGCTGTGCTTGTGCTGCGTGCGGTGCATCGATCCATCCACAGCCTGTAGCGTTTTTCCTTGCCCAGCTTTTCAACCCACATTGTTCACACAAGCTGCTGCTCCGCTCGCACCACCCACGGTTCATGCAGCTCAACTGCATTACGCACCTGCTCAGCTTGGTAAGTGAGTGGGCAGGCCTGCCGCGCCAGCACGCACCCTGCACTGTGGAGTCGCTGTGTTGAGATTAATCAACTGCAGAACTGACCCCAGAGCATGATTACAGTCCCAGACTTCGATTCAAATTCAAAGAGAGGCTGAGTGCAACGGCGATTCTGTCCCATGCACTTTCAAACTCAACACTAACAGGTGCCATATGAGGAGTCGCCGTCCGAGCCTATTACCCTGCCGCCGCGGCAAAAGGACGACAGCTACGTGCGCCCGCCCCAGGAGGAGCAGACTTTCGTCCCGCAGGTGTGCATGGAGGGCAGATCTCTACCCTGCGATTCAGCTTCACTGTTTGTTGAGGGGAAGTACAGGGTTCTGTGGTGCAAGGTTTTTTCTGCAGACGCTTGGCTGCCAGCCACATGCAACCCACAGCTGCGCATCTTATGTTCCGCACATGCAAGGTGTTATTATTGCAGCCACTTCTTTTGCACAACCACAGGTGTTCAAGCCCAAGGAGAAGAAAGGCGGCAAGGAGGGCAAGAAGTAGGACATGGGCGCCGGTTGATGTGGCAATCAACGAGCGAGGCGTGGACTGGTCTCGTGTGTTGAGCCCAGCATAATGCAGTCGGCCGCTCGACCCCAAGCAGGGCGTTGCCAGTGCGCGCCTTCAGGGGCGGGCACGCTGCAATTGGACATGTGTTTTGGGAGTGTTTGTGGCCGGAATTGTTGGCTCGCCCCAGTTCACCTGACAAAGAAAGGTTGAGGGCTGGCAGCGTGCGTGCTCCGCAAGCGCCGCAAGTACGTGCCCACGTGTGTGGGTTGTTCCTTTTTAGTACATGCTGACTTCTACTACATCAGGCATGTAATTCTTGAGCACGACTCCTTATGGAGGGATGTTCAACTGTCGCCCCCCCCCCGCAACAAGCTTTGAACCCAGATGAAGCCATGCGTGAAGGCAGAAGCTGCGGCTGCCGCCAAACTCCAAATTGTGTACATCGCAGACATATGCAGCCTTGCATCCCTGTATGTATGTAACACGACCGACGGCAGGCTGGCACGAAGCGGGGTGCCGCTGCGTTGCGGTCAAAGAAGCACGACACAAAACAACATGACTACCCTGCCAAATACGTTGCGTGATAAATCCTGACGACTGAATCGACCACATCGTTGATGGAGCGGCAGCTCTGCCAACATGTTGTGGTTTGACAGTGAATGAGTCCAAAGGTTGGAAGGGCCCGGCTTCTGGTTCTCGTTGCAGCCCGGTAATAGCCGGGCGCATGTTACCAAGCGCACCGTCCTGCCAGGCAGACGCACAGCCCGTACGCACGCCGCAGCACCACGCGTGGCCCTGCTGGCCGCTCCCGCCGGCGGTGCGCCGGCCGTGCTGCGTAGCGCGCAGCTTAGAGCTTGGCCTTGGGCGCGGCGGCGTCGAGGATGGGCTGCAACTTCAGGGCCAGGCCCATGCTGCCATTAATCTTCAGCTTGCGCAGCAGGAACGCCTTGATGAGGATCAGGGGAGCGGGGCACGGAGGCGTTCGTGATGGTCCAGCAGGCTGAGGGCGGAGGGAAACCGCAGGCACGAGCTGCCAGCAGAAGGGCCTGGTTCAGAACTGGCCCCAGCGCGCGCCCCCAAGCACCTGCTGCGGGTTGAGCTTGCCCATGACGAGCTGCGCAAAGTTTGCGTCGCTGATGGTCAGCGTGAGGTCGGCCTTCTCCTCGGGCTTGCCCTTGGTGACGCTGCCGCTGCCCTCCCGCAGGTCCAGCGCCCACTGGGTCCCATCAACATCAAACACCACCAAGCCCTTGAGAGCGGTGTGGGGATGATAGCGTTTGAGAGCGTGCCGGGTTTTGGGATGGTGATGCCAAGTGCAAAAAACACGCACGCCGGAAGGGGAGGGCCCTGGTGCTCGGCTCGGCAGGCCTGCCGCGCAGCAGTGGTGGCGCGGCGGTTGTGCGTGACGAGGCGCTCGGTGGCGCCAAGGGCTCCCGCAGCACCGCGCTGCCCAGCGCAATGGCCGCTGACAATCGCACATCACAGGCAGCGCCTCTGGTTGCGGGCGGTGTTTTGAAGAGCAGGGCGTGTGGGTTGGGCTGCGCTGACTGGGCAGGCCACCATCCGCCGCCGCCTTCCACTATCTGACGCACCTTGATTCGCTTGACCAGTTCCGGACCCTCGGTCTTCAGGTTCTTTTCCAGCTGCTCAAAGAGTGCTGGAGCCGCTGGCATGGTGGCTCAGCGGGACAATGGCATGCAGCGGGTGGAGGACTGGGCGTGAATCGGATAGAAGACTGAGCAGAACAATACAAATAATTTATATTGCGCTGGACCATACGCCTTGTGTCAGATACCGCCAATCTAGTGCAGAAAGATCTCTGGCCCAGCATGACAGAGCCGAGTGACACACGCTCGATCGGCCAGTATGACTCGGTAAATATGTAGAATTAGGATGGAAGAGTCGCGAGCCCAACAGCTCCAACGCACCGGCGCGTGTGCTGATGCAACCTCGTCTGTGCGCACAAGCAAAGCACGCGCGGTGTGCTGCACCTGCACACCCCACTGCAGGCGTTTTTGTGCACCACCTCCGCAGCTCTCACGTCTTCTGTCCCCGTCCCCGTCACCCCGTCAATATTGAGCGGGTAACGTATGCATGCCCTGCAGGCAATGGGCGCGCTGTCCGAGCACGCCGATACCCTGCCGGCGGTCGCCGTTTTCGATGCCACCAGCAGCACCAGCACGCTCTCAGACGACTCGGTCGCCGTCGGGGCGGCGTGCCAGGCCAAGGGTGTGGCCGTCGTGGTGCTCGCTCCCAATGCTGCGCTCCGGAAGGAGCTGGAAAACACCCTCTTGGCAGCTGGCAGCAAAGCCAGAGTTCTGGTACGCCAGGCGTTCTGATGGCACGGTGCGTTTGTCGCCGTCTGCAGCCGCAGGATCGTGCACCCTGCAAATTCCACCGTTCTTGTGAAGTCCCATCAAGGCTTAGGTTGACCTTTCTGTCACCGCACCCGCCCCTGTCAGCAGGTGCCTGGCGACGAAGGCAGCAGCAGCGGGGTCACTGCGGCGCTGCGGGACCTGAAGGCGTCCACCGGCATATCTTTTGAGCAGATGGCCGCATTCTCCTCAGACGGGCCCACCCTAAGGGAGGCCGCACGCCTGGGCGCAACGACTGCGCGGCTAGCGCCGTCTGCGCGCGGCGTGGACGCCGCGGCGCTGCGGCGGGGCTTGGAGGCCCACGCATCAAAGATTGCAGACAGCCGGGGGTACTGAGGGCGTGGCTGGCGGTTGCACCTGAGCGAAGCGAGCGAGCATGTCATCGTCGGCCCACCTTGTGGTGAACCATCTGACCCCAACATTTGAGATCCTGTTGCATCACATTGCCGGCGTGTGTGGCCCCCAAGTACGCAGCCTGTTTGCCGTATCTACCTTTGGCCACTCATATACGCTATGCCCCCTGCTTGCTAAACAAATTTAAATTGTGTCAGCTTTCTTATGCCTGAGGTGTTTTGTAACAAAATCAGCACCAAACAGCCATTGCAATGTAAGAGCGCCATGATGAGCATGACATGTTGAGTCATTTGTGGACCTTCTCTGCATGGCCCGGGTGGCTGGCTGCACCTGGGCCATGCCAGCAGGCCCCCTTGCGGTTGGTGTGCGTACAAGCGGGCAGCAAAGTTGCAGATCAGCAAGTGTGACAAGCGAGGAGAAAACGGTGACGATCAAAATGGACAAAGTTACCGGGCAGCCAGGCAACGGCAGCTGTTGCAGCACAATGCGAGGGGTGAAGAGGTAGGCACGGTGGCGCCAGCGCGGCACAAGCCATGGCGTACACAGGGGCTTGACGAGGGCGCCGCACCCAACCCCACACTGCTTATGGCATATGGACGGGCTATGGCACCTCCTCGGCCAACCTGCAGGTTTGTGGGCGTGTTGCAGATCCCCACTGCTCGTGATTGTGGTCGGCAGAGGTCGTTGCAAGGGCAAATGGAATTCCCAGGTCACGCCTTGCGGTATGGCTAATTGAAGCCATGTTGCTGGGCAGGGTAGGGGCCGGACTGCTGCGCCCCGAACGGCGTGCCGTGCGAAGGCGTGTTCATCAACGTCTGCTGCTGCTGCTGTTGCTGAGGTGGATGGTGTGGCTGCTGTGGCAGGTTGGGGTATCCGCCAACAGCAGGGGGGTAGCTTGCTGCGGTCCCATTGTAGTTCTGCCCTTGCACGGGATAGGGCTGCCCTTGCATGGGGTAGGGCTGCCCCGGAGGTAACCCCCCATTGTAGGGATAAGCGGGGTAGGGGGACGCCAGCTGGACCCCGGGGACCTGGGTGTTGGGTGTTGACATCGGTTTTGGGGGTTTGGTGGAGGGTATCAAGGCCAGATTGATGAGTGCAAGGGGAGGGGGTGCAAAGGTCAGGTGAGTGGGTGCGGGAGAGGGGGAGAGCGCGCTCCATGGCACCAGGCACTCACGTGCTATCACGCATGGCTGCGATGTCTTGCCAACCATTCAGACCATGCAGCAACAACCCCAACATCAATTGGCAGGGCACTTTGCAGGGCAACCCGCGCACCGGGTACTGCGCAGGGCCGGGCGTGTAAACCACCATCCCCGCCTGCTGGTTCTGCGGGACCTCCGCTGGGTTCCGGGAGCAGCTGCGGGCGGGATTGCAGTTGCGGGGCAGGATCGCCGCAGAGGTGGTTGACTTGACGTGGATGCGGTCGAAGGCTTGCGCCGGCCGGTTCAAGCACGCCCAGAGCGCAGCTGGGAAGACATCACTTGATCCCACAGGTGTGGTTAATCACTCGACAGGGCACGGATGACTTCAGCCCGTGTGTGACGCCGCAACAGGCCGAATAACCCCAACCGTCTGAGTCCCCTCCATCCCCGTTTAAAGCATGTAAAAAGTCAGCTTGGCCCACCAGCAGAAGTAGAAGCAAGGGATCCAGCTACAGACAAAGAGGAGCCTGCAGAGGACAAAGGGCGCGGGACACAGTTTTGCCACAGCAGGATTGCAAGAAATCCGCAGGCAGCGAAGAGGGCAGTTGCGGGGTGTTGGGTGGATGCATCAAGCGCCGGCCTTCGAGTAATTTGGTACGTGCACGCGGCTGCTCGGCCCGTGGACGCACCATCCGATGCCCCAAAGCACTGCGGGAGTGGTGACGCATTGTTTGTATTCCTGCAGGCACTGCTGAGTCCTCTTGTCGAGAGGGGCTGCCTTGAAGGTCTCGGAGCGGCGCTCTTGCGACGACACGGCTGCGCATGGGCAAGGCGCTGGTGTAAGAGCAGTGTGCGTTTGCACCTAGATTGATACAGATCGCTGTGCTGGTTTTGCGAGCATCACCTCCACAGTCATGACGGCTGTCGCAGACGTCGAGCTGAGAAGTGACCAGGTGTGTCACATGGTAGGATGCTGGACCCGCCACCATGCTGCCAATGCACCCATCCGATGGTTTTCAACCCGATCGCGCCAGCAGCCCCCCAGCAGGCCATCCAGCCACAGCCGCTGCTTGCCAGCACTCCCGCGGCTCACATTGGTATTGGTTACTGCAGACCTTGAAGTTGTCAATGCACTTGCGGGTCATCAGGATGCCTGGCACAGCCAACAACAAAACATGGTTGTGCTTGGGGGTTCATTTTGTTTTTCGCGTGGGTGCGGGGCCAGACAGCGATAATCGCACACAGATGCGGGGCAGGTGAAGCCAAAAGCGGCCTGGCTCGCACAAGCGAACTGCTGAGCAGGCAGGCCGATCGCAGGCTTGACGTTCTGGCATGGTGGTCTGGCATGGCGGTGCACTACAAGCAGAGCAGGCGCACGCAGTGACGCGGCCAAGGCCGCGCGGCCCTGCTCACCTGGAACCCAGAAAGCGACGCCCACCAACACCAGCAGAGCGAGCACGGCCCATGCCACCTTGTTGGCCCTGCAACGCATACCCGGCAGACGCGAGCGCTGCGGCGTTGGAGACACGGCGAGGGAGCACACCGCATTCGAGCACACAACATTGAATCACGCAGCTGTGGGGTCGTCGGCAAGGAGGCAAGGGCCAATCATGACCGCCTGTGCGCAAGCAGGGACTGAAATGCCGGGCGCTTCCGGCACAGGCGCCCAGTTGGGCGCTTACCTGGTCTTCATGCCCCAGTAGCATCCTGCCATTTTGTATTATTATCAGCGTGCGACTGCGGCGCGCCCACGAAGGCAGGGACGCGCCACAGGGCGGCGCCCTCGCAGGAGCTCAGAAGGGGGGTCGGGGCGCCCTGAGGTGGTCGCTCTTGTCACGGGAAGGGAGGTTCTCAGCAGCTGAAACTCATTACGCTCTAATGCTGACAATCTGTTAGGCCTACTTTCTGCCCTGACTGTCCCTGAAAGCGTCCTGGGCTGGCGAGAAGATCTGGAATGCGTGCACGGGGCTTGCCGGTGACAATGAGTACAAAAAGCCTTTTCAGGCTCGACGATTCCGTTTCAGGCACAGCAGGGTTGTGCCAAGGACCGGGTTACACCGCAACTTCGGAGTGCTGGGCGGAAGCCGCGCCCGCGCAGCAGGTGTTTAGGTGTATGCAAGGCTATGCAACAGATGTGCACCAGATTGCGTGCACATTACGCACTGCGTACATACAAGACAGTTCAAGATGTCTGTCCGCCTGCACACACCTGCACATGGCGCCCTGGTGTTGAGCAGCTGACCGGACTTGCACGGGGGACCTTGGACGCACAGCCTGCTCACAGCTCGGCGACACTTCTCAATATACCCCTGAACTATTGTGAAACGCCGTGCTTCGCCCTATGAGGCGCCGCGTGCATGATTCTTCAGGCGGCTCACGTGGGCTGCCCATGGCTGGCCAGCCGCTTGGGCACACAAGTACAAGGACTGTACCCCCTGCCCTGCCACGCGCACCGCCACTACCTAGAAAGGGGCCAGGCTTGCCTCCACAGCCGCACGGTGATGTGGGCTCTCGGCATCAATGCGGTTCGGACCCCCCTTGCCGCATCTCGCAGCATGCACGGTCGCGTGTTTGTGTTACTCAGCGGTCCCCTTGTCCTGCTGCCCTGCTGCCTCTGCAGCCGCGGCCATCCTCGCGGCCCCCCAGATGCGGTGCGCGGCCTCCTGCACAGCCGCGCCGAACGAGCCGCGGCACTCTGGCGCCAGGGCTTTAAGCATCAGGCGCCAGCGTTTGAGGGCCTGCGAGGCACGGCCGGCGAGCAAAGCCAGGTGAGGGCCGGCGGGCGAAACAACTGCTGCTGGACGAAGGGATTGAACCCAGGCTGAAGCAACAAGAAAGCGTGCATCGCCGCACCACGAACGCCGACGAGCGACGACGTGTTGCTGGCAGCCCGTGCGTGCCCAACCCTCGCCCGGGACAGTTGCCCTGCGCTCGTTCCTGCATACTCGCCCCCTACCGCCCAGCATCCCTGAACATCCTCCCCACCCGCGTCCCCCAGCAGCAACGTGCTGCCCGCACCTGCGCCTCGCTGCGGCCGGGCACCGCAGCCCCCCAGTCGACCTCGTGCTCTTCCGCGGCGCCGCCTGTCAGCAGCGCGCGCACCAGCAGGCGGTCCTCCTTGGGGTCCCACTCGCCGCGCGCCACCATGCTGGGGCCGCGGGTGTACCTGGGTGACACGAGTGAGTGACACCAGTGACATGAGGGACATGATTGAGTTTTCGCGCATGCACATGTGCACGTGCGCATATGGGCTTTGGCCGACTTGGTGGGTCGCCTGACAGGTCAGCCAGCTTTGCAGCTCCAACAGGGATGGCACGCCAACGTCGCCGCAGCCAGGGCGGGTTGCGGCGGGGGGTGGGGTGTGTG